AGTCCAACAACAAATTAATAAGCCCAGCATATTAAAGGTATTTTTGTGCTTAAAAAAAAGAACTGTAACATACAAAATGTTTGTGTCTATCTTTGTTGTTTTCTTCTTTTTGTAGGTTTGGGGAAATTTTAAAGCTGTATGTTTATATTGAAGATTTGATAAAAGGTGAGTTTATCCCTTGATAGAAAACAAATTTAAAATGCAGACTTCTCAGAAATACCATTATTTTTCCACAAAAAGTACCTGCAAATTTATAGCTGAAAAACTCTTCTTCCTGTGGTGCATGTCTATTTATTTCTGATTGGAAAAAGCAACCGATACTTCATTTTCATGTTGGGGTGACAGAGACATGTTACCCATTATCTAAAACACAGACTGAAGACAGGAGAAAACATTTTCACTCAATTTTTCATCATCGTATTGTCATCCAAAAAGACAACTAAAAATAAATTGGTTTTTACCTTGAAAGGTACATTGATAATGAAATATTATGATTTTAGTTGGTTCTTGCCACAATTTCTCAAAGAAACTGAAAGAAAACAACCCTGAGAAAACTAAGAAATATAGAAGTTTATTGGTATAAAGTTAACTCTCTCTCTACATATATATATATATATATATATATATATATATATATATATATATATATATATATATATATATATATATATATATATGTTACCTGACACCTCAGCCTGTCATAAGATTTTCCAAGAGGGAGATGCTGAAGATAGATGTGTGATGATGCGATAGCCTGCGATGGTCTGTGTGGATGCGTGTGCTTGTGCATAGGTGTGATGTGTTTGCATGAGTGAACGTTCATGCGTCTGAGTGATTTATCAGGGTCTGACAGGAGGCTGACTAATGTTAGAAGTGTTGTTAGCAGGTCTTCAAATAAACTGTTGAGCAAGCGAGACTTCACAGCCTCATGGAGGGCTGGATCTGGCACCTGCTGCTGTTGGAACGCCAACGTTTTTAATCTCCACGTTTCTAAAAGTGTGGACAAAAAAATAGTGACTTAACCAGGCTGCTAATTATAATTGTCAACACTTTCCATGAAGTGCATGAAGTTGTTTTGGGTGATTAATTTTCTTATTCATATCTATCACTTGACAGGTTAACAAATAGAAAAAAACAGTATTGCATATATATGTAATGATACATAAAGGTATTAATTCAGAATTTTCCAAATAAGTAATAGGCAAGTTATTAAATTCATGTAATCTCTACCAGTCAAATGTGAGATACTGTGTACACAATAAGTGATTAGTTTTAATAAAATATATGTTTAAGGCCTTTTTACACCTTAATAATAACAGTAAAGTAAAAATGAGACTGAGACATCACTACATTGCTGTCAGTATGACTACACAGACATTTGCACAAAGAAAATTGAAATGGACTCATTCAATATCATAATGATTACAGATTCAAATAATAAGAAATTCTAATTTTGTTTTGGAAACATGAGAATCCTTCTGAATGAGCATACCTAACTACTATCAATGATTTTACAGGCATAGCATTTAAAATATGATTTCATTTGCGCAGTAGTAGAGGGAATTTGCAACACTGCCATCCATTTTTATTTAAAGCGTTGGATTTTAATGCGTTAAACTGTTGTATTTCTGCACATTATCCACTTCATGCATACTTCACTCCTACTGAACAACGATTTATACTTTTCTCAGTTGCGTGGGTAAAAGAGAAATAGTTGCCATGGCAGCAGTGGACATTGCGCAACAGCTGTTGAGACTTTAACCATGATCCAGTAATGTGCAAATGCTCTCTGTGATGCCATGTGCTTGTGTCTTTGTGCATTCGTTTGTGTGACTATCCTCAGGATACCTTAGTCTGCATGTTGGTATCCGTTCAAGCTGTTGTGTGTCAGTGTGTCTGTTTGGGTACGAGCGCCCATGCATGTGATCCGCCCGTTGTGGCAATATGCTGCCAGTGTGTCAGAGAGTGTGTCTGCTTGCATTTAGTCTTGCAGCCTATGAACGTGTGGTGTTTTTGTATATTTTGTGCTTTTGGGATTTGATAAGTCAGATTTGTGCAGTTTATTTAACGTTCGTGTCTGAAAACCTCAACATTTCCATAAGAGAGAGAAGAAATGTGAAAAAACCAGGTGACAATCTGGATCACTTTAGCAGATATTTAATCAAAAGTTTGAGTTAATCTTTAATTTTTATGTTTTAAATATGACTGAGACATTACTACTTCACCTGTAGCGAAGTGGGTGTCTTAAAGTCTTAAAGATTTATTTGTTTTGTCGACTGTATTTAAAATCAGCCTGACTGAGATTCAAATCTCCAAACATTGGCAGTGTTTCTTCATTTACTTACTGTTATACTTTGAAAATGACTTTTTTAATCTGCAGTAATCTTGCTTTGCAGCTTTTCAGTCAACCACAGAAAATGTAGCTGCTTATTATGAATATAAATTGTTCCAATTAATGTAAATGCGTCCTGAAGGAGATAATTCAGTAATTTGTTGGTTATTCTTGTTTGATTTTTTGTTTTTGATTTGTTTCATTCAAGAGCAATACTAGTGTTTTTACCATATTGCAATACAAGTTTAAATGCTTTTTATTATCACTTTTATTATGGTGGAATAAATTACCTGAAAATATGATCAGCTTTTCGATCAATCTATCAAATTGTATTTGTATTGTACCTCCTAGCGACAAGGCATTTCTAGGTGATAAAAACACAAAAATGCAAAGTCATAGAAAACACAGTCAACAACTGAAACATTACATTTTGCCATCATTACACAACAAAATGGTTGATCAATTGATTATGTTCCAATAGCAACTCTAACCAGGTGGGTTTTAGTCAAGATTTAAAGTAAGTCAGTGTTTCAGCTGTTTTGCAGTTTTCAGGTAGTTTGTTTCAGACTTGTGATGCATAGAAGCTGAATGCTGCTTCTCCATGTTTGGTTCTGGTTTCTGAGGACGCAGACCAGACCCAGAAGACCTGAGATTGACCTTTTAGGTAGACCTGTGGGGACAATGTTGCAGTAATCAATGCAACTAAAGATAAACGCCTGGATGAGTTTCTCTAGATCTCGCTGAGACGTTAGTCCTCCATGTTGCCCATTTGTACTTTATAGGGACTATGACCATGTTCATAGTCATGGTCATTTTTCAGTTTGATCAACTTATATCACCAGATATACACAAACCATCATGTTTTGCTTTTTCATTTGTTTACTGAAAATTGTTAAACTTTTACAGCAGTAGCTGAATTAAGCTGCAGTTTGACAGAGATGGTGGCGAACAAGTCATAGTTAATGCTGGACTGGTGTGAACTGGTGTGAACTGGTGTATGCACTTTTGTAGGTTGGCTTTATCTTGACATGAGGCTTGAGAGAAGCTCAAAAATTCAGCCTGCATCAGCATCTCCCCCTCCCTCCTTCCATCCTCACCGTCTTACTGTTATTGATGAGGCTACCTCTTTATATGGTAATGTCTTTCACACCTGAAAGGCGTAAGGCAGCCATGATTGTTTCTCTTTCTCTCTTTCTTACTCACACACACAGAGAGAGAGAGCTGCACAAACTATACAACCCAGGAAACACACTAAAATGGGCTATCATCTCCATGAATACCATATATTTTCACCCTCTTTCCCTTCTCACAGTCACACACACACTTACCACACACCCACAGACGGCTATGAGGAGCCCATTAACACTGACAGAGATATGTATGCAGCTCACATCTGTTACATGTCGCTGCAGAGGCAGCACCAGCTGCCGTGGTTTCCAGAGGCCTTAGCAATATGGGATTTGGTTATTACAGGACGGCCATCTACCCTTGTGCAGTTAAATATCCCTCTGAGTGATGATATTTCAAGGCCTGATCTGATAAATGCACAAATTATAGGCTAATTACTTGTAACATCACACAATAATCCAGTGGCTGAGATTATCTTTACTGATGAGAGCGGGTGTGAAATCTTAATTTGTTGGCTGGAAAAGCTGAGAGAGTTTATGACATGCTTATTGATTAATTATTACAACATACACATTGAAGTACAGCACTATAATATTCAATGCAATAAGCACGTTTACTACAAACACTTCCAAGTTTAGCAGGTGTTTATATATTTATCAATATACACAAAACATTGCCTCATTTTTGCAATAGTTAGGATTTCATGTTGGTTTTATGTATTTAAGTAAATATATGCTTTTATTCAAATAGTTTTCTATTTATATATCGTAATAGCCGTGGTATTTTTAGTCATTGTCATCATATTGTAGGAATGTCACACTGTTCATGCCAACCACCCACACAGCTTAGTAAATGGACTCGCTTACAGCACAAACATGATCACTGGTTTTACAACACTGGTGTAAAAAGGTTTACAAAAAAACAAAATGTCAATGAGAATATCTGGAGATTATGACCCAAAGAGTCAAATTGTGTCTTTATGAACAGATTTAAAAGCTTCATTTGGTTTTTCTGAGAAAGAATAGTAGATTATGTTTAAAAAAAAGAAGCTTTGTCAAACAAGTTGGTTTTTTAAGAAGGGAAAGCAGAAAATAATACATACAGAACAAGTCTTTAGCATAATTCTGGATGTCGGGTTAACCATTTCTCCCTGGAGTCGTTTCTTTGGCTTTAGCTTTAGGGACAAACATTCAAACCAAAAACTTATCCGAGGCAGAAATGGCTGACAAGTGTTTAATGTACCATCTAATGCAGCCAGACACATTAGTGGGTTTGCTAATATAAACATTTTAAGTGCGTGTGTAATATGTATGTCCAGAGGAAACTCCCACAGCAAAGCGAGCGCTGCTCTTCAAATGACAAACTCAAACAGACACAAAGAAACACGCAGATGAAAGCAATCTCACTAAATCAAGCTTCCTGGAGGAGGGCCTCCCAGGGGAATAAAGCTACAAACATGTCCTTCTATGGCTTTATTTCCACATCTGATCTACAGTTGTATATGTTTCACTTTCTAAACACGGATGGTTTTGACTTTCAGCTGATCAGAAACAGACTTTTAAAGCCGACGAACAGGGTGACCCACTTTCCTGAAGTGACCTGGACCAACCAAAACCAGATCATCTTCCATCCACTTATGATTTGGGCGTGGATCCGGCTGAGAAATACACAGCTACACACCAGGAAAGCAGGGACAAAAGCCTCAAGTGAGTGCAGATGTCTTGCCACACATGCTTTTGAGTCATTTGCTCTTCCTGTGTCTAAACCTGAAACACATTTTGCTGGTTCTGAGTCTGCAGGGCGCCATCTTGCTTTGCATTAATACAACCTGCCTCCAGATAAAATACCTGCATGCTGCACACACTCCTTTATCCAACTGCATGTAAAACAGCGCTAGTCAAACGGACGAACCAACCTGAGAGGAGTCTGACTTTAATTTAAGGTAAGTAATTAAGTTGCACTTAAAGGAAAAACACAGAGCTGCTCTTTCATGTCTGCTGTCAATACTCCTTTTGTCAATTGTCTGTGGTTTAATCTGGAAACTGTCACGTCTATTTTATACCACAAGCCATTATGCTTCTCTGCAATGATTAAATGCAATACAGTAATGAGGTGCAGACTATTAAATTCACAAATAGATGAATCACCTTGATTGGAATAACTACTATTCACTCATTGGTCAGATTATTAAGTACCCCTTACAACTACAGGGATGGATTCATATTTGCCTTCACAGATTTAATGGCACAGGTTCAACAAGATGTTGGAAACATTAATCAGAGTAGTTGTTTTTAATGCAATGCTCAGTTGTTACAATAGACTCAAAGTATGTCAAGTAAATATGTCCCACACCATCAGGCCACCAACACAAGCCTGGACTGTTGAACCAGGCAGGATGGAGCAAGTTAGAGGGCGACACTAACATCTAACTTGAGGCTCAACCCTCTGTCAAATTTGAACTGCCGGGTATGAGTTGTATGGGTTAGGAGTGGTACTTGGTGTGCTCTTCATCTCTTCTTTCATCTGCTTCAGGGTTCCTCATGCTGTATGTTCAGGAATGGTATTCTCTGCTTGTAATGAGTTGTTATTGGAGCTCTTGTCACCTTTCTATCACCTTTAACCAGGTTATCCATTCACCTTTGACATCAACAAAGCATTCTTGTTCAAACTGTCCCCTTTTTTTGGGTCATTCTTCACTATCCTTAGAAATGTGCAGGAAACATCTTAGTTGACCAGTTTCTGAAAAACTTATGAGCTAAGGGTTTTTTCACACCTGATAGTCGGTAGATTCTGTTTGATTGGGAACCGAGGTTGAAACACTTTCTCGCTGCACTGTGTCAAACAGTTCAAACCCTTTGAAAACTTGTTCCTCCATCATAACGTGTGGTGGCCCTGCACAAAGAACTACTGCAGAAAGGCACATGAAAACCTCAGGAGAAGACATGAGCACAACTTCTTTCTTTGCAAAATGCAAACAAGAATGTAGCAGCGTCAGACCACGAGCCATTTCTCCTGCAGTCTCAGACTCTCGTTTATTTTGGTTGTATTTCACCCAGATTGCCCTGCACTATAGTTTGCTTTCTGCTTTAGAGCGGTCTCCAAACCAAGACCTAGGACTTTAAGCGAAGCAGAGTTCACGTCTGTGACCCTCATCAGAATTTGATTGTGCATTTACACTTTCTCAAATAAACCAAACTTTCTCGACAAAAGAACTAGTTTGCTTAAAGCGGACTAAACGGGTCTGGTGTGAATGTGAATGCTCACTAAAATCCTCTAGCTTAGATACTCTCAGATTGAATTTAACATGACGACTAACAATGTCATGTCAGGTTTCTGGCATGAGATTGGCTGAATCACAATTGATGTTAACAAGCAACTAAACAGCTGTACCTGTTAAAAAGCCTGGTGAGTTTATATTCACACGTTCTGCCAGTAAATGATCTGTACTGGCATATTTGGGCAAAAGGCTAATTCTGTCTTGGGCTCACAGGCTCACTAAACTGCAGACATGCAAGCAGTGCAATATTCAAAAGGTACGAGCTGTGAAGGTCATCATTAACATAATGTGTGTGTGGAGATATTCCCTTCATGTGGTGTGGACTAATGTGTTTACACAGCCACTCTGTGGGAAGTTTGTGTGTTTTCTGGGGGGACCTAAAGCAGGTCACAGCTGCATAAATTGTTCAATTTGAAGGTACAGTCTTGGTTTAAGATCAGGGTTAGACTGTTTGTGAATGTGCGTGTGTGTGTGTGTGACCTGTCATGTATTCATATTCATGAGACAAACTTAGGTTTGTGTGGTTTGTAAAAGTTGATGAATGTGTGTTAGTATTCCTGTTATGTGTGTATGATGGGGGTCACACACGCTCCTCTGTCCCATGGGAATAACACAAGGTCTCATTCTGACAGTACACCACTGCAGGAAACACACACACACGCACGCACGCACACACACACACACACACACACACACACACACACACACACACACACACACACACACACACGCATGCATGCACAGAACTGCTGCTCCAGCACATTTTCTGAAGCTGAAGGATTATTGGGTCACATTGCTTCATCAAGGACATAAGTTCAGTTTTTCCTTGACACAGAACACCTGCACAGGTCAGTTTATTCACGTCTGGGTTAAACAAAAGAAAGGCCAGCAGGGAAACTCTACCTGGCCAAAATAACTGAACTGTTAAGGTATTCAGTAATGACCCACAGGAATTTGAAAGCAAGCATAATAACTCCTGCTCCTGCCTGGGAGCTCTACAAACAGCAGAAAGTAGAAGGGCAACACGTAGAAGTTAAGAGAATCATTAAATTAACTGCTTCATGTGTTGCTTTGAAGAGGAAAGTTAGCTTGTCAGGCAAGAGAAAACATGTAAATGAAGTCTGGGAGTGAACCCTGCCTTTCTGTGTGAAACCAGTTCTGCTAAACCATAAAAGATCTAGTTGACTGTGCTGCTGAAGGGTTTTACTGATGCTTGTTCAAACAAAAACAAATAAAACTCAAAAGGATTCTGTTTGCGCATCAAAGCTTTCCAAATAGTCGTCAGGTGTGTTTATGCATGGTTAAAAAAAAAAACCTCATCACAGGAGCAAATCAAAGAGCACCAGTAGGAGGTTTATTAGAGCTTGAATGACAGGTACACGGGTTGAGTCATATTTACCTTGGTGTGGTCAATCCCGATTTGATAAAGAACCATAAAAAAGCATACTGTGGAAAATTAGAAATTATGTATTTACACCTCTTTTTACATCCCGTTTTTTTATATTTTGTAGTGCCAAATGTATTGAGAGATGCAAAGTAGTGCATAATCATAAATTTTTGACCATTTACTTGTTGAAAAAATATTAAAGCTGTGTATTATTTTTGTCCCACTCCCACAATTATTCAGTACGTTGTTAAAAATATTGCAGTGTTTATAATGCGACTGAATGAAAACAACAATTCTTTAAAAGTTTCTCAAAAGCAGTACCTACAGCAGCTGTGATGCAGCATTTGAGTTTGTGTTCTTCCTCCACTGCAATAAATGTAACCACAAAGAAGGCTGTAATCAGTAAGACCTGGACCCAAACTCCCAAATTACTCTTAATTAATAGCCTTCTAACCATCAGCAAACCTCAGCGCTTTGAAAAAATGTCAAACAGTTAAACTCTTGAATTAAAAGAACCTGAAACTCCAACACAAGCATATAGACTGAACAATAACTCTAGCAGTCCAAATGTAGTGCTTAGGCTCACTTTGCGCTCTTTATTAGCGCAGTTCTGCATATTGGTGTTTGTTTGTTGCCAATTAACCCAAGGCCAATGTGTGGGCAAAGGCTTAAAGTTATTCAGCTGCAACAGAGGAAAATAAAATTCATGGCAAACTAGAGTTGGAAAAGAATTGGACATTTAAACGCTCTCCCAGGAGGAGGTAATTTGTGTTTTTTGTAGCTCAAGTATAAAATCTCTGCATGAACACCAATTGTTTGCTTTTCTCATTTTTTTTTCCCCATTTATGTTTTATTTATTTGCCTCAAGTGAACCCAAACATCAAAATAATCACAAAAGCTCCATTTCAAAGCTTTTTCAAAAAGAAATACATGCATTTATTATATACAAATGGATTTTATGACTGTTTTAAGAAGCAACACTGGGAAAGAAATAATACCTGTCAGTCTATTTCAGTCATCACTATTTCTTTTTCAGCCAGATAACTTTACAACTCTATTAAACGTATTTATCCCATTACAGATTTATCTTTAATCTAATTTAAATATTTCAGGTAATCAAACTAAGGCAATCTCTGTAAATACAAATGCAGTTTTAAAATGATGATCTTCTTTAAAGCAATTACGCATTTGGACAAAAGAAAGCATAAACAGACTCGACCGTATTATAATACCTTGGAGTCGGACTCTGTTTCTGAGTTTGAATCTGCATGATTTGATTGGAAAGATTGATTTCATTTCTTGTTTCTATTTGACTTGGAGCTGTTTGTCTTGTAAAGTGCATTATGATGACAGCTGTGAAACGGCACAATGTAAATAAACGGATTTGAAAGTAATTGAAACAACAAAAACTCAACCAGAGCTTCTTGTTTGTGGTCACCATTTTGTTTTGTGACTCTATCTGTACCTGATTAGCAGCATCAGATATAAATTTTCCAGATCCCAAAGGCTGATTTGCTTCTGTTCAGCTCGGGGGTGGATCTCATGGGATAACAGTGTCCCTTTGATTTATTGCAACAATAACTCTGATGACACAGCAACACTGTAAACAAGCGAATGATTTGAACCCCAGTCCTTGGTGAACTGCCAAGTTAATGACAGCCTCTGTCTGAGTGTCGCAGTTAATCAAGGATGAATATTTTAAACTTTCTGCTGCTCACTATGAGCCAGATTTAAACGTTCTCCGGGAAGCAAACAGGTTTTTACCTTGCTGGAGTACGGGCCTGGGATGAGCAGTTTCAGTGCTTGACGCTTCAGCTCTGTCAGACGCGTGTTGCAGTTCTCACACCAAATCACCCTTTCACTTCCAGGTGAACTTCCACTCCCTGAGGCCGGCGATCCTGTCCCAAAACCCGGAGAGCCTCCGAGAGAACCCGGTGATCCAGTGCCAATCCCTGGGGAAATAGTTCCCGGAGATCCAGAGAAGGATCCTGGTGATGAGATCCCCGAGCCTGGGGAAGGGGTACCAGTGGAGCTGGGCATGGACCCGGCTCCCTCTGGCGCTGGACGAGTGCCGGAGCGACTGGTTTCCTCGTAGGCCTTTCGGCACCATGTGTCCGGGAAAATGGAGGCCGATTTTGTTGGGGAGGAGTCAGGCATCTGTGAGAATATATAGATTGTTTCACTGTTAGGAAAGACATGCTATATCTCAAAGGTGACCCATTATGGTCCCTCAAACAAGTTAGAAAAAGTCTGTGGGCTAAACAAAACATGGTCATTAGATTTTTTGTGCAAAGTCATTCTTAGACGATGTGGTTTTAATGTGTTCAATCCTGAATATTTTGAACTCCTTTCAGATGAAGCTGTTTTAGGGCCTTTTGTCACTTTAAATCCAAATAAGCTGCTCCTGGCCACGCCCCTCACCTCAACATTTACACTCAAGCAGATGTGACAAACATACATCTTTGAAAAGCAGAAGTGGAGCATCAGGCACAACCACCAAGAATGCAGCAAGGGGTTTCTGGATGGTAAGGCAACAAAAAAACATTTGTCTTTTCCAGCAGCCATTGTACAGCACAGTGGTAAAATCAGCTGACCAAACATGCTGGAGCTCGGCTGGGGTTGCTAGGAAACGGCGCAGTGCCTGTTGATTGTTTGGGACTCATTTTCCAAACAGCAAAAAAACATCAAATTATTGCCAGAAAATGGCAGGTGTAGAGATCAGGCTGTTTCCAGAAGCAGCTGAGACCCAAATTGAAATACAAAAATGTGTGAAAAGTGAATTTTGCACAATGGATCCTGCTTTAAAACACTGTGTGAACATAAATGCAAGAGGTTGCTCAGGGACAGGAAAGTAATGTTAAGGTTGACGTAAAGGTGAGAGCATATGGCTGTTTTAAGCTGTTGCCCTTTAGCCAGCAAGGCAAAAACAATGATGCTCTTTCTTTTTCTTGAACAAGCAGAGCAGCGCTACTAACATTTCTGAGTGCACAATATAAATCTGAGTAAGTTATAAATTGAAAAAAAGCTCTTATCTACTGCATGTTTTACACATTTTGCTGGCGAATGCGGATGATAATTAGCTGTCTTTCTTTATAGCAACAAGGTTCCCGGGTCTGAATCTTCACTAACTTGAATTCTCCCAGGGAACGGCTGAATTTTCTCAAGGGACTCCAGCTTCCTCCCACAGTTCACAAAACATGTATGTTCAGTTAATTGGCTGTTCTAAATTGAGCTAAGCAGTGTGTGTGGATTTCTTTGTTGGTCCTTTAATATACTTGCAACATGTCCAGGCCTCTTACCCATAAACCGCATGACTAATATGCAGTTTATGGGTATAATAATATCTCCTCTAGATGAGAAAAAGTGGGCCACGTAAATGAATCGGTGTATGAATATAAATAAGTGAGCATTAACATCTTAAGACAACAACACTGACTAAAAGCAATCAGCTGTCCAATTATCTGTTGATCAACTCTGATCAGGAATTGGCAGATCCAACTCGAAGAAATCTGATTCATCAAATGTACCAAAACTAAGAATTCCCACAATCTGTGGCACATATGTGCACCAAACAACAACATTGATGTTTGGGCCATGTGCTTGGATGCATAAATAGAGATAAAAGCCAGAAAAAAAGGAAATATGAAAGGATATCTCATGATTGAGGCAACTGAAATTTGGGACGTATCAAAACGGATATTAATTTCCACTTATCAAAGATCAGGTTGCAGGGTTTGCACATCCCAGATATTCTTCTCCCCTATCATTCCTGGAGACCCGTAAGGTGTTTCCAGACCAGAAGAGACGTAAAGTCTCTCCGGCATGTGTTGGGTCTGCGCTGGAGTTTTCTGCTCCCAATGGGAAAAGCCTGGTTAACCTCCAAATGGAGGCACTCAGGAGACAAACTGAACAGATGCCTGAACTGTCTCACTGGATTCAATCTGTCTCAGGTGGCAAAGTCTGATGATTCAGGGAAAACTGAGACAATCGTTGTGGCAAACATTGTCGAGGTAATGAAACAACTTCCCTGGGGCAGGGCGCCAGAAGTGAAAAATATTTATCCAGAGGTATTGCCAGCTTTGGACATTCAGGGGCTTTTGTTGTTGATGCATTTCTTGAAGATCATTTGGAAAAGTAGACTAAGACTGAGGTCCTATTTTTTTAGAACAAGAGAGTCTTCCACTTATCTTTCTATCTCAGCAAAATCCCATCTAGGATGTTAGAAATGTTGAACCATAGTTCAAGGAGGAATTTCTTATGTGGACTAGATCTTTACCTTTGCAGGATCAACGAGGGGTCTGTCTTTTTGACTCTGTAGGGTTTGGTCCACTGAAGCTTTTTGTTGGTGTTGCTGCAGTTACATGGAGAACAGGGGTGATTGTAAAGACTTTGTTGTATGACCGAAGCAAGAACTGTTTGCTCATTCTCAGCACAAAGCTGAGATTTTTCCAAGAGAATGTTGGGGGATCAACCAGGGCGGCCACTTGTCTCTAGTCCTATTTGTTGTATTTATGAGCACGATTTCAAGGCTTAGTATTGGAGGGAAGAATGTCTCGTTGTGAGATCTTTGAATTTTATTTTTCTGGTGCAGATGATGTGGTTCTTTGGACTTAGTTCAAGATGAATGTCAGTGAAGAGGGAGGTAAATGGGAGCTTTGGGTATTGAGTCGCAGCTCCTCACCAAAAAAATAGCAGTACATTACACAAAATTTAAGTTATTGCAGACTGGTCTGACTTAGTCATGTGAACAACTGAGTCTTATGAGCTGAGAAGTGGATCTTGCGTTAGAGGTTGCATTAGACATTCAGGTATAGCGGCTGCAGGGCCACTAATTCTACGGCCATAAAAAAAGCAGCTATGTATAAAAATGATGGGCGGGGAAGTGGCGAGGCTGCTGTATTATGACCAAACCCTGTGCAATAAATTGAAGCTAATTGCAGATGAGCCAGAGACACAGGTGTGAGAGTGAGAATAACACCTGACTTGGCAGCGATGATTAAAGAGATGCAGCGTGATGAATTTAAACCCACTGATGTGGCACTATGAGCAGTGATGTGTGAACCACGCATGGACACAAACCTAACGAGAGCTGTCTTCAGGTTGTATATTTATGACCAGCTAAAGATGGAAGAAAGCTGCACTTCAGTGTGGTGGGTGGTGCAGTGAATGGATGATAAGTTTTTTAGATTTTCCAGGTTTACGCACAGAGAAGCACCAACTCATCTGGAATTTAATAAAAAAAAAACCTACCCCATGTTTTCTGCTCCGGCTGCTCCTCTCCCTAGTCCCCGACAGTGAAGTCATGTTGTAGGTATAGAGGAGGGGGAGAAGGAGGAGGAGAGGAGAAATAACCTCTTCTGCCGCTTCACATTCAAAAAACAAACCGCTCGATCGATTTCAATTAACCGCACGCCTCTGCACGTCGCTCGTCTCGGTCTTGAGGTGCGCCTCACGCCGCACTCAGACGCATGTGGTGAGAGGTGCGAGCCCCATCAAGCTGCCAGGAAAACAAATCCTCCAGCTCCTTTGGTGAAAATTGAGCCAGAAATAGTTGCAGCGCAGAGAAAAGATGCACAAGTCATGCGGCAGATTGCGCTGCGCACTGAATGAGGCTCTGTGGCTCTCTGCTCAGCGCGCTGGAGTGGCACCGCGCTCAGCCCTGCCTGTCTCCATTAGCTCCGCATCTCAACCCGCTCAGGTAGATCTACCTCCTCCAGGGTGAAGTCCAGCGTGAAGATCACAGAACATGATCAACACATGTTAGAATGGTTGCATCCGACTGAAAAACCAACAATAACAAAAAAACACCTCAGCGACCAGAGTCTGCGTGCGCCTCGCTTTTGGGACTTTAAATGGACCCATGCGCACCCTCCTGTTGACTTCCCGACGCTCCGCACTCTGCTGCAGACAGCAGTGGACTAAGGACACTGGAGCGAGACGCACATCTGGATGAGGGCGGGGCCAACCTGCCCCTCATCGACCTTAGGCCAATCACACATCCAGAGGTTCCAGCTGAGTGACATCTGGACTGCATGCGTCAGAGAGAGAAAAAAACCCTAACTATATCTAAATATATTCATGTTCTGTGTCTACTGTCTAGACACCTGAAAAATATGGGAAACCTTTGTCTATTTGGAGGACTTTAATTTATCAGAATATGTCAGATTTAGATCATTAGCAATCATCGTGTGTAATAATGAAAATAATAACGATGCAGTATTAGTATGCAGTATTGAGGGGAAGTGTTTAAGAAATATTTAAATACTTTTAATCAAGATGTTTAATATGAGAATGCAATAGAGATGGTCTGGTCCATCAGGTCTTCTGCTGCGGTGCTTGGAGCTCCAGACTTCATGTCAAAACTTCTGTTTAATTATCCTGATTCCACCTTATGAAGAGCAAGAGATCTCTGCTGGAGGATAAATCTTAATTGATTTGCATTGCAGAGAAGACCCCTGTGTTCAACTACTCACAAAAAAAAAAAAAACGTGATTAGTGGATGCAGATACACAGTGCCCTCTGCAGGCAATGTGGGGTTATTACTGGTAAAACCACATCGGTGGGGGAAAGGACTGTTTGTAGAACTCATTATGAATTAAATATGGAATGCGAAATATTTCAGCCACAAAGAGAAAAATGTACATATATAAGAATCTTCTCTTAAAATAAAATATAAATTAATAAAATTAAAAGTTGTTCCAAATATTTTGCTGATGCTCTTCTTTATTCAGTCCTAAAAACACAAATCAAAAGAGAATGTTTAAGCTGTTCCCATATTTTATCATTTTGAAAATGAAACACTAACTTAGCTTAATAGGAAAGAGTCAATTCACATTGCCTGATTGGATCTTTTTGTCTGTATTGCTGCATCAGAGCAGTTTGTCATGGATCAGAACCAACCTTCTGCTCATCTGTTGGGTCTGGTGTCTCCCATTTTCATGTTGACTGTACTTCTTAGATTTTCTATGGAGTTCAGTCTGACATGCTTGCTGGCCGATGAAGTTCAGTGATACCTGGTGACTAAGGAGGATATTTGTACTTTTGGCAAACTGTGTAGGTACCCAGTTCTGCTGGAAAATTAATTATCTTTATATTTAGCGCTCTTCCTATGGGACTTTTTGTATTTCCAAATGAAATACAAAATGTATGTTAGGTCTATACTCCTGAACACAGACACAAAGAATGGACAGGAGTCAGAATCTTAGTTTTTACCTGCAGGTAGAGCACAGCTGAAACTTAGTTACAGATTCTCGCCCTATGCTCTCAGCTTCAATGGGCCTTTTTCCTGCTTTTATTAAAATTAGGAACGCCCTGGTTGCATGGCGGGTGTGCAGTCCTAAAGAGGAGGGGAGAAAAGCACAGCTGCACACTCAAATGCACAGAACGTAATTATGTGACCTTCACAACACATTTCATAAGATAAGAATATCAGTTTGCAGTTCCTCAGGATTGAGAACTTCCTGATCATGGTACCCTCCTTTTTTTCTCCTCAGCAGGCTGCTTCTCACAGCTTTCTATTTTCTGCAAACACTTCCAAAACACTTAAAGCACACCATCAAAATGTAAATACAAAGGTACATAACTGAATGATAATATAAAATAAAGATAAAACAAATAAATGATGATAAACTATAAACAGTTATGTCTTAAAAATCTTTATTTATTAATGTTTTTTTGAAAATTAGTTTTAGATTTCAGTGAGCCTAGCAATAATACTGTATATAAAAATATCACTCTGAATATCAGCGCTTCTCTTTTTGGATTTATAAACTGACCTCAACCATTTGATATTATCCATTTTACTTAGACAAATTTGCATTGACTCTGTCCATATGAAGCATATGTTACACAATGAAGTATGTGCTGCAATGAGGCTTATTTGTTATATTAAAAGTACCTTTAAAAAGTCCTTTAAGCAGGAATTTTAACATAGAAACCCAGAGGCCTGATTTTGTTTTATTAAAAACTTAAATGTTAGGTTTTTAATGTTTGCAATTAGAAAATTACCATGATCAACAAATATAAAGGCTGAAAACATCCAGCTCAGTGTAATTAATATATATAGTGTGTTTCACTTTGTGAGTTGAGTTTCTTCTGTAAATAAGCTTTTGTAATTTACAGAATGTGAGTGTAATTTTAAAGAACATTTCAAAAGTACATTTCAAACCAGCTGTTATTTCCCCTCCGGACCGCCAGGAGGCGGTTGCTTAATCCTTTTAAGAACACTTCACAGCCCGCGAATGGAAGCAAGAGTCATGTCTTGTTCCAAACAGGAATTTGTGTTGATATCGCGTTGCTTTCGGTTTTCCGTGTAGTATTTAGCTCGTTTTGAGCGCTTTGTTTTTCTACCTAGCGTAACCTGGTGCCGCAGTGAATATGAGCAGGCTCTGGGACGCATGACGGCTCTGGATTTTCGAACAATCACAGCTTTTACGGTGAGTTTAAGCCTGAAGCTGATTTTGCCAGTGTTTGGCAGTTGGCTGCCCATGTTTTGATATCCCACCTCTTGCTTTGCGAGAGTTACTTGTGCGTTATGATCTCGCGTTTTGGCTTTCAAGCTTCAAATGATAATGCTACACGTTAAAAGACGCGTGTAATAAAAATATCAGCAGACGTTTTTTTTTTTTTTTGGGTTGTGTGGCGCATTTTCCAAAAATCAACTAGCTTGTTTCGCATGCTATTTCGTTGTTTGTTGGCATTTTTCAATCTGAATATGATCTTAATGCTTGCTTGTTGTTCAGCTGCCGATCTGGCTTGTTTTGACACATGGTAGTAAACAAAACTGCATTTCTAATTGATTTTACAAAGAGTTGGAGAACATATTTAACATGAATTCACCAGTGTACAATTTACTGCTTAATAATTTCTCCATTCATTTCTTTATCTGTCTGTCAATTTTATTGTCAAAGGAAATTCAAGTCGCCTGGGTGAACGACATTTCCCCTGGTAATGTCACTTCTGTATTCATCTGCATCTGCCTGCCAACAAACTCAAAACAAATCATTTCAATGAGAGGAGCACACTGAGCCACACAACAATGAGAGGTACAGAATTTATTCTTCTACATTGTCTATGTTGTCCTATTTCAAAGATGTTTTGACCCAACTTCTGATTTGGGCTGTCTTTTTGTATCATCTTTCAGGGAGACCTCGTAAAATAAGGAAAAGGGAGTCCAAAGAGTCACCCGTCTTTAATAAGATCCTGTCTCCTCCAGCTGCAGAAGTGTCCATTTTTGATAATCTCGCCAATCTCAGCTTGCCTGCCTTTGAATCTGAACCCATTACACCCAAGAGATGCAAGGGACGAAGAAGACGGACTCAAGAAGTCATCAGTGTGACTTCAACGCCTGTGCACTGCTCCTCCTCATCCAACATTTCACTCTCCTCTCCCAGAGCTGATGAAGAGCTGCTGGAGTATGCTGAATTCACCACTCAAGCAAAGGTGAGGTGTGAAGTAAATTTTTACTGAGAGATGCTTTCTAATTTGTTCAATTTGGCAATTTTTATAGCCTTAGAGATGCACTGTCCATCTTTTGATTTGGATAATCTAAATTATTTTTTTAATCTCTTAAGGTATTATATTGATACAAAGGGATGGGTGATATGGCCCTGACATTTTAGAGCAGTGTTGATTACAGTAACCAGAAAAGTGAAGATAAAGGTAATACCAAAAAAAACTTTTTATGTTATTTTTCTTAAGAACAAATCAGAAAAAGTGGTAAGAAGTGGTGTTGGCAAATCAACACTTTATAAAAGTGAGAGAAAAAAAACACTTTGCTGTCTATTATCTATTTTACCATGGGAAAGGATATCTACTGGTCTGAAAGGGTTCACTAATTCTTCTTCAGTATTCATCCAGCTCAGTTTTCTTTCTCCCTTTTCAAAATATTTGAACAACTTAGACATTTCAGAGATCATATAGCCTTACGTTAGGGAGGGCCACGTCCCCTACGTCTCTTGCACATCACATTTTGTTAATGCTAATTCTGGGTTTCTTCTTGTCCCAAAGGAAGTCCTTAACATAAGTCTCATACTGTTTGTAAACCTGGGCTGGGATGTCAACGGACACCATGATGGACACGTAATTGAATAATGGGGCTATCATCATTCTTATTACATTCACCTTCCCTCATAAAGAGAGTTTCAATTTTGCCCATTGAGCAAAATTAGTTTTCATCTTGCTGAAAAAGCGTTTCCATATTCAGTAGCATTATTTCCTTTACATTCGAGTGAAGTCGTATACCCGGATATTTCATACCCGAGGGAACTCACTTAGTTAAATTGTGTAATATCATTTGAGTGACATGTTTATTATAGCATCTTTTTATGTTGCTGCAGACTCCAGAGGACGATCCACCATGCCACGAATCGAAACCTCAAAAAAGAAAGTCTCGAACTTCTCAGCCAAAGCAACTGAGACGAAGGAGAACCGTGGCGCAAACCCAGAAAAACGGGACTCCAACGAAGCGTCAGCGTGGCAGGACGCGAAAGAACATGGCTAGAGATGCAAAGGGAAACGGCACTCAGCCACCCCAACATTTGAGGCCGAGGTTTGAGCTGGAGAAGCCTGATGCAGCTGAACAAGGTACCATCTGATGTTTGCACCTAAAATAAACGTCTTAAAGAACCATGGTAATTAAAACTGAATCTGGTTTCAGTTTCAATTTTAATGGTTCTATATTTTGAAAAATGATTTGTCACTGTACAATTCTACAGAATTTTACTGAATACAGGAATCACCTCTGACTCCCTTGTCTTGTCTGCTCTCTACTCCCCCAAAAGATGACTCTTTGCTATCTTCAGATCTTTCAATCGAACTGAACCATGATGAGGAACAGCTGCCCTCTCTGTCCTTACAAGAAAATGAGAGTGAAGATGAGGAGGAAGAAGATCTGCCAAGTTTCCTGATGCAGAAAAACAATAGTAAGGAGAAAACCGCAGTGGCTGAATGCAAACAATCTACAAGAACCAGTCCTAGTGGATTTTTTTATTGATCACTGTTTTGTTTTACAGAACCTCCATCGATCACAGAAGGAGCATTTGTGTGGGGCAGATGTAGAAATTATCCATACTGGCCTGCATTGGTAAGGACGAAAACATTAGGAGATACTAAAATATGTTTCACATTGTACATTTCTTATTCTAAGCCAAGTTAGTTTTAGCAAAGTTGTTTCTGTTCATATGTTCCTCAAAATAATTTGCTGGGATTTTGGGCCATTCCTCCAGACAGAACCGGTAGAACTGAGACCTTGCTCCCACACATCTTAACAGCTCTGCTTAGAAATTTTCCAAGGCCACTACAAACATTGGCTTTATTGTCCAGAGCAGCCACTTTGTA